CTGCTCCCAGGTCCCGAGGTGGCTTTCCACCACGCCCGGCGCCCCGCTGGAGGACCAGCCCTGCAGCTGATCCGGCCCCTGCACCACGTGCGCCACCCCGGGGAACCCCATCGATGGTTGGCGGTCCGCCAACCCCGGCCCCTGCGGTCTCCTCACGTCAATCACCTGACCCACTTCCCGCCACTGGGATGGCGGGGAGGCCTGGGCCGGCCTGCTGGCGTTGCGGGGACCCTGGGCACTTCGTGGATAGGTGCCCGGTGATGGAGGTCGGAACGCTGGTCAGGGTCCCCGACGCACCACAGGTTGCCCCCGATCAAGCTGGGTTGTACAAGATACCAGTAAGTGTAAAGGGGGGTACCTATCAAGCTTTGGTGGATTCAGGTTGTAACCAGACCTCCATCAATCAAAGTTTGATTCATCCAGTGGCATTTGATAGGAGCCGCGTGGTTAAGGTGCGGTGTGTGCATGGTGAGGTAGTGGGTTACCCCTTAGTGCCAGTCACTATCCAATTTTGGGGGAAAAAGCATAGTGTAGAGGTGGCAGTTAACCAGCACCTCCAGCACCCGTTGATTTTGGGAACCAATTGGCCGGGGTTTAAAACATTATTGGCTTATTTATGTACGGGTGCTTCTGGGATTAATAGAAGGCAGGAGAAGAGAGCGGTGGTTCAGGTTGGAGAGGCTGTGCCGGGAACCTCGGGGTCTGTCTCAGAGGAACGAAGCGCTTCAGAAAGGGAAATCCTTTTTGACCGCGATGATTTTCCTCTGGAACAGTCCCGAGATGATACACTTAAAAATGCGTTTGATTAGGTCCGCGTGATCGACGGACAGCCTGTCCACCCAGACCAACCGCTCTCGTATCCTTATTTTGCCGTGATAAAAGATAAGTTGTATCGGGTGACCCAGGATACCCAGACAAAACAAGATACAACTCAGTTGTTAGTTCCAAAGAGCTGCCGGGAAATGCTTTTTCAGACGGCTCACTGTAATCCGATGGCTGGGCATTTAGGGCAAGCAGCTACACTGAATCGTCTAATGACCCGATTTTTCTGGCCAGGCATTCACGAGAATGTGCGCAGGTGGTGCGCGTCTTGTCGTGAATGTCAGTTGGTGAATCCACCGGCCAACCGAAAAGCACCTTTGTGCCCCCTTCCATTAATAGAGGTCCCCTTTGAGAGGATTGCCATGGACCTCATCGGGCCGTTAGAACGATCCGCATGGGGGCATCGCTTTGCATTAGTTCTGGTGGATTATGCAACGCGATACCCCGAAGCAGTGCCGCTTCGCAAAATTTCTGTTAAAAGTGTTGCGAGTGCACTGTTTCAATTAATCTCCCGGGTGGGAATCCCGAAAGAGATTCTCACCGATCAGGGCAAGGCGTTTATGTCACGCACAATTCGCGAACTGTACGAATTATTGGGTATTAAATCGATTAGTACCAGCGTCTATCACCCACAAACAGACGGCTTGGTAGAACGATTTAATCGCACGTTGAAGTCCATGATTCGTAAGTTCGTACAGGAAGACGCCACAAATTGGGATAAGTGGTTAGAACCCCTCTTGTTCGCTGTACGCGAGGTCCCCCAAGCCTCCACGGGGTTTTCCCCTTTCGAGCTGCTCTTTGGTCGCCAGCCCCGCGGGGTGCTGGATGTACTTAGGGAAGCTTGGGAGGACGGACCTTCGAATAGCAAAAACGAAATTCAATACGTCCTGGACCTGAGAACAAAACTCCACACGTTGGGGCGGCTCTCTATGGAGAATTTGTTACAGGCCCAGGACAAACAAAGTCGGCTGTACAACAGGGGGGCTAAACTACGTAAATTTGCACCGGGAGATAAAGTCCTTGTATTGCTTCCCACATCCAGCTCTAAATTACTCGCCAAGTGGCAAGGACCGTTTGTGGTCACACGGCGAGTCGGGGATCTCAACTATGAGGTCCTTCGATCAGATAGGGACGGAGCACATCAGATTTACCACCTCAACCTGTTAAAAAAGTGGAATGAGGCGGAGTCAGCGATGCTGGCGACGGTAGTGAGTGGGGAGGAGGATCTCGGGCCAGAGGCGAATTTAAAGTCTCAATCCTCCGCTCTGGCCATTTGCGGAGACCACCTCTCACCGTCCCAGATCGCTGACATTCGAAACTTACAAACAGAGTTTGCTGATGTGTTCTCGCCCCTCCCTGGTCGAACAAACCTCATAAAGCACCATGTTGAGACCGAACCGGGTGTGGTAGTACGCAGCCGGCCATATAGATTGCCTGAGCATGAAAAGAAAGTAGTTCAGGCTGAATTAGAGGCTATGCTGGATATGGGAGTAATAGAAGAATCCAACAGTGACTGGGCGAGCCCGATAGTTTTAGTGCCTAAAACTGACGGCTCAGTGCGGTTCTGTGTGGATTATCGTAAGGTGAATGCTGTATCGAAGTTCAATGCATATCCAATGCCACGGGTGGACGAATTGCTTGATCGGCTCGGCACGGCTCGATTTTACTCGACACTGGATTTAACAAAGGGTTATTGGCAGATCCCCTTGTTTTCAATGACTAAAGAAAAAAACGCTTCCACGACGCCGTTTGGATTACACCAATTTGTCACCCTTCCTTTCGGTTTGTTCGGGGCACCTGCCACCTTTCAGCGCCTAATGGATAGAATCCTCCGGCCGCATGCTGCATATGCCGCGGCGTACTTGGATGATATTATCATCTATAGTAATGACTGGCAGCGGCATATGCAGCACTTGCGAGCTATCCTCAGGACGCTGCGAGGGGCGGGGCTCACGGCCAACCCAAAGAAGTGTGCGATTGGGCGCGTGGAAGTCAGGTATCTGGGCTTTCACTTGGGTCATGGGCAGGATGGAGGCTGCAGACGGGCGGTGGGGGTATGTGGCGAGGGGGGCGTGGTTCAGCGGAGTCTGTAGCAGGAGAGCGAGGGCGGAGCCGAGCGGTGAGTAAGTGGGTCAAGTTCAAATGACAAACACCTGTTTGTGATTTCAGTAATTGGCGTGAGGAGACCGCATATAAGCGGGCTGTGCTGATAACGGAAGAGAGAGAGAGACTGGAAGCTCGTGCACGCTGACGATCGGGACGAAAGGTTTATGAAGCTGTGAACAGTGGAAAGAGTGCTGCCTCGTTGGTAACCTGAGAAGCTGTAGTCAGCGGGAAGAGTATTGCCTTACATGTGAAAATTGAGTGTTTTGAGTTAATTCTGAGAGCGCAAGAAAGCGCTGTGCAAAGAGCATCATTAATAAAGTGCACGAGCTCCACTACTTGCCGACCCCGAGTCTCCTTCCATCACCTACACACGAACCCTGAGCTACATCACAATGGTGATAAATAAGATTCTCTGGTCTGATGAGACCAAGATAGAACTTTTTGGCCTTAATTCTAAGCGGTATGTGTGGAAAAAACCAGGCACTGCTCATCACCTGTCCAATACAGTCTCAACAGTGAAGCATGGTGGTTACAGCATCATGCTGTGGGGGTGTTTTCCAGCTGCAGGGACAGGACGACTGGTTGCAATCGAATGCGGCCAAGTACAGGGATATCCTGGACAAAAACCTTCTCCAGAGTGCTCTGGACCTCAGACTGGTCCGAAGGTTCACCTTCCAACAAGACAATGACCCTAAGCACACCGCTAAAATAACAAAGGAGTGGCTTCACAACCTGAAAATGGCTGTCCACCGACGTTTACCATCCAACCTGACAGAACTGGAGAGGATCTGCAAGGAGGAATGGCAGAGGATGTACCCAAATCCAGATGTGAAAAACTTGTTGCATCTTTCCCAAAAAGGCTGTATTAGATCAAAAGGGTGCTTCTACTAAATACTGAACAAAGGGTCTGAATACTGAATACCATGTGATATTTCAGTTTTTCTTTTTTAATAAATGTGCAAAAATGTCAACAATTCTGTGTTTTTCTGTCAATATGGGGTGCTATGTGTACAATAATGAGGGAAATGGCTGCAATATAACAAAGAGTGAAAAATGTAAGGGAAAATGAAAGTCTGAATACTTTCCGTACCCACTGTATATCACAATATGTTAAAGGAGAACTTCGGTCATTTTTAACATTGAGCTCATTTTTTTGTAAATTTGGAGTGCTGTCAGTACAGAGAACAACGACAAAAATCGGTGTTGCCTACACCGTGTTATCCTCTTTTTAAGATTTGCACCCTGTTGACTTCAATGGGGTAAGTTTTAAACCTGCTTTTAGCCTCTTAACATCCTTGATTTGTCATTACAAGTGCACAGCCATGTGAGTGAGTATATTCAGAGTGAATACGGTGAATCTGACTGCAGTAGTTGTGAAAAATATGAATAAAAGTGATGTTAATTCAGCCAGCTTACATACCTGTGTTAACTTCCTGTTTTCGGTCAAAGTCCACAGTAGTCGATTGTCGAGTTCACGCATGAGATCATTGCTAACTAAGCAAGGTAATGATCGCGTGCGTGAATTCGACAATCGACTACTGTGGTGTAGGCAACACCGATTTTTGTCGTCGTTCTCTGTACTGACAGCACTCCAAATTCACAAAAAATTGACCGGAGTTCTGCTTTAATATGCTGAAGAAAGTTATCCAGACTTAGTTATATCTAGTGTTATCTATAGAGTTTATACATAGCCTAAGATTAGCATATGGTACATCAGATTTCCTTTCAGATAATTTCCTCTAGTCAGTAGATTGCTCAGATAAAATTGCTAATTCTTTCCTGACAAATGCTCAAACGATCCAGGCGAGCCTGTGTGTCTTTGCGCTGTTTACCGACATCAGAGTCCTCAAACAGAAGCTCACTCACATTTGCCCCATCCAGTAAACACAACATGTCAATAGACAGGAGATAAGCAGTCTGCTTCAACATGAAAAATGAGATCATCATGGGCAGTTGGTCAGCCATTCGCTGCACTGCAATCTGAAAAAAAAATCAAAGAGGTACTAAGCACTGCAGTCCATTCAGTCTCTAAGCAAACTACATATTTGTAACTGAAAACTAAGAAGATCTACCTCGTAATATGCCTGGATTATCACACTGTACTTGCTTTTTTTGTCCAAGATAGGTAACTGCTCTTCTGAATACTGTTCTTTGGTAATCTCCTTCAAGAACTTAAAGTGGATTGCATCTTGAGTGTAGACCATGTTTTCAATTTCAAACTGCTCTGAGATCCTCTGCTCTGCCTTCTCTTGCTGGATTGACTGAATGTTGTGAATTTTGTCCTATTTAATCCAGTAAAGATGTACAGAGGAGGCTTGATTAAAATGGAAGATTGTTTAGTTTTATTTACCACTAATAAGGAGCAATATTTACCGTAGTGATATCTAGAAGAACAGGGTATTTCTGGAAACATTGATTTACTACATCAGTAAACTGCTCGATGATGATGTCTTCAAGAAAAATACAAAATCAAAAGGACAAATAGCCACAAATGTCTCACAATTCTGATAAAACTACAAAAACATTTACAGTGTTAATCTTTTGGTTTTAAAATGAAATTACCCCAGTGAGCAAAAAGATCTTTAGCATGGAGATGCGTGATGGTACCTTTGATGGTGTTGAGTAAGTCGATGGCTGGTTCTTTAAGTGTGGACACATGCTTTTGCAGAACGCCCTCAAACATTTTGTAGTTGCAGAAGCCGGGCAGTTCCCTCCCTCTGTAATCCTGGATATTTGCTATCTTCGCTTCAGTTGATTCGTTAACTTATTTGGGAACAAGGCAGATTTCTTTTGAAATTATTTGACTTTTTCATTTGAAGAGCACAAACATCAGAGTCAATTAAAACTTGTTTATATTTTTTAAATTTAAAAATATACTAACAAGTTGTCTTTGTGACATTAAGATGAGCATTCCACTTCTCATATTCAGCCCGAAGTTGGGCAAACAAATTTTCTTCAATGATCAGCTCTCCTGATGATAAGGACTTGATTTGATCATTGAATCTTGTTAAAGTCTGTGAGAACAAAAAAAAACATTTGTTACCTAAAAAGTTACATTACATAATAACATTAATCAAAGACAAATACAATATAAACTGATATCAATTATTTATTCTGGCAAAACTTGAGGACTTAGTATAGTCAATATTGCAATAATTTATTATAGCCATTACGGTTACACAATTACTGTGAGAAATGTAATTTAGCATAATATGGCTGCATCTCACAAAGTTTGGTACACATCAGCTGCTTGGACCCCAAATTATAATTTTGAGAAGCAAGGAAATCAAAGATTAAAGTGTTACTTCAGTGAGGAATAGTTTGGCCCCCTTAGGATCCTGTGGTGGTCCAGCCTCAAACTCTTTAAGCTTATTTCTCAGATCCCACAGCTGCTTTTTTATCTGCTCATTGAGGTGTGGCAAAGATTTCTGACAAAAATGAGTAAAAAATAAATTCACACAATAGATTTGGAACACACTATGTTCAATAGATCTAGTGATAGAAACATATGACCAGAAATTTATGCTCAAAACCAATGGCATTTTTTGCCATTTGGGCCTTGTTCATACTGCTAATGAGGTGTATGAAACAACATAGGCTACTAAACATACAACCAGATAAGAAAAATACAAAATTACTCAATTGTCATAGTGTAGGGCAGGGTTCATCTAATTCAGCCCCTGAGGGCCACTGCCCTGCAAAGTTTAGCTTAAGCCCTAATCGAAGACACCTGAACAAGCTCAACACTCAGTTTCGCTGACCCTTATTTTTTTTTCACACACACACAAAAAAGGGAATGAATAATTTAAAATATTAACTCTTTCCTGCAATTGATGGAATTTTCTGGCAATAAATGTTTACACTGTTATACGGTAGGGAGTGCTATTACACATCTTCTGAAAGAGTACAGAATTTCTGGATCAAAACACAAGTTGCGAAGAAGCAAAAACAAGCATTAAAAGCGTTGGTTATGAACAATGTAGTCTTTGACAAAAATTGTATTTGTTTTTTTTTATGAAACTTGCCCACATTCAAGTGTTGATTAAAAAAGAATGCATGAAGTTAGAATAATTTTTTTTTGTTTATTTGCCTTTTTTATTTTTTTTATTTTTTTAAGCAGAGGCTCTGTTCTTTATTTTGATATATTGCTTGTTCAGATATTCATACAACAAAATATTCTGGGGGGCAATGTTTTGAGAAAATGATAAAAAATGCTGGAGGTGGCTGGCAACTTCAAAAATAAATGCTGCCAGGGAAAGGGTTAACTGTATCAACAGTAAAAAGTGTAGCCTTTATGCTTAAAAAAATAGTGGGGGTTAAACCTTAACCTTTTACTCAGGTCCCTATCTTACACCCAGCGCAATGCAGCCCAAGCGCAACGCAAGTGTTTTTTGCTAATTTCAGTCCGACGCAGTTATCATTTTCACGTCCTGCGCCACGTTGTTTAGCAAATGCATTTGCAAAACGAGGTGTGTTCAGGCGCATTGTTGGCGTGTTGCTATTTTGAGGCAACAGAAATAGACTGCGCCATTGACCAACTGAAACCTGGTCTAAAGTCAATGGCGCAATATTTTTTTTGTTATTTAATAAGCGCGTTAGTAATGTGTGCCTATAGGCGGATCCACAACACGTGTACACTCTGCTTATTAAATACACAGGGACGCACAAGCAGCACACAAACATGCCAAATATTTAAAATAAAAGGACTATAATGTAAAAGATTATTATTGTGTACATACAGATATGGCAGAATCAGGCTTGTCCTGTAGATGGTCTGCTTGCGCACTTTTACCTTGCGCACGAGCAGTTCCGTTCGGCCTTTCTACTATCAAATTCCGTCACGTAAATAGCGAATCTGCGATGGCGAGAGCTCAACTGGCATTTAAAGGGAATTGGAGATGAGACTCTGATTGGTTTAACGCACGCAAATCCCAAAACACACCCATTACTCCTTATGAGAATAGGGACAACCCTTTTATACCATGCGCTGACCATTTTTCCAGTCGTTAAACTAGCAAAAGTGGATTCGGATATGCCCTAAGTGAACTTGTGCCGTGCGGTTTAGACCATGCGCTTCGTTAAAATAGAGCTCTAAAAGTCTTAAGTCTGCTCCCTTTTACTTAAACTCATTACTTCAGACTTATGTGCCATCCAGAAACTTGTGCTCTGCAAGTGAACACTGTCTTGTGGTGCCATCTCAAAGAGGCATAAAATCTCTTTCTCAGACCTTTTCCTGGTCTGTTCCATGCTGGTGGAATGACCTGCCCAATGCAACCAGAGCTGCTGAGTTCATTGCCATTTTCAAGAAACGTCTGAAAACACATCTTTTTAGGCAACACCTGATCCATTAATACTAACACTTTATCATCTATTCTATATCTATTATCTTCAAAAAAATTACTGCGTTAGATTAAACTATGAAGGGTCATAGCACTTGCATATTGTTGTCCTATTGTTAGTTTCACTGTGTCTATTGTTCTCATTTGTAAGTCGCTTTGGATAAAAGCGTCTGTGAAATGAATAAATGTAAATGTAAACGGATTATTACGTTATCTCTACAGACCAGCTACAGTTCGGCACACTTGTGATTCGCAGAATAAATGTATGTTTAGTGTTATGTCTGAAAACTTCCGAATCTTCGCCACGCTCACCTTATCGGATGATAAGTACGTCACAGCCACGACCGCCTTGAAGGCCCACTTCAGCTCCGGAAGAAGCCGGCGGATGCACCGTTTTGAGTTCCGTCAGAGAACGCAAAAGCCGGGTGAGACCATTGTCCATGTATCAGCATTACGTGAGCTGGCTAGACTTTGTGATTTTGGGGCTTTGGAGGATGGACTTATAGTTGACCAGTTAAGAGAAAACGTCATGTAACCAACTGAGGGAGAGACTTTTACTAGAGCCAGACTCCACGACACTAGCGGATGCTTTAGTAATTGGAAAGCAGTTGGAAACGGCCCTAATGGAGGCGCGCAAGTTTGGCCGCGCTGCGCACGAGCCTGTGACATCATCACCACCGTCAGTTCAGCACACAGAGACTGCAGATGCGGCTGACTGGGTGAGTGACCATTTGGATGTACAGAGAGTGGACAGGGGGCCCAGGGAGAGTGGGCACAAGAGCTGTAGCAACTGTGGCTCCCCTAAACATGCAACCAGAGATCAGTCATGCCCTGCCCAGGGGAAACGTTGTCGTAACTGCAACAAGTTGAACCATTTTGCGCTGCTTCCCCTGCTTGCCATGATACTGCGGCTGTCCCCATAAACACTGTACAGACCTCACAGCCTTCGTTCAAGCTCTGCACATGCCGTGTGGGCACAGCTCTCATTCCACTCCTCGTGGACACAGGGGCGAAAGTGTCAATTCTAAACAAATGCACATATGATCGCTTTTTCAGTCGCGTGCCTCTGGAAGCAGCGGCTAAACCCCTGTTAGGCTACGGCCATTCTCCCATCTTCACTCTGGGTGTGGCCCGCCTGCCCGTCAGGTATGATCAACAATGTGCGCCTGCCACCAAGTTCTGCATCACCCGGAAGGGAGCTAACATTATGGGCCTAGACTTGTTCCTTGCCCTGGGTTTTAGTGTGAGTGATGCTAGGGGCCTGCATGTCCTGCAAGTTGCCACCTCATGGGCTGACCGCTACCCATAACTGTTCAACGGGTGGGGCCGCATGACTGGTTTTGTACACCAGCCCACTGTAAACCCGTCAGTCCGCCCTGTAATCCAGCCCCTACGGCGCATTCCCCTTGCCCTCCGTGACGCGGTGGAGGCCGAACTGCATCGCCTTGTGGAGGCGGACGTCATAGAGCCTGTCGACGCCTCGCCATGGGCGTCTAACCTGGTGATAGCCAAGAAAAGGGGGGGTCGGACTGCGGCTCTGTGTCGACCTCACAGATGTCAACAAAGCCATCATCCCTGATAAGTATCCCCTACCTACGGCTGAGGAGCTCACTAGCCATTTCCACGGCTCCACTGTTTTCAGTAAGATGGACGAAACGGCTACCTCCAGGTCCCTCTGGCACCGGCCAGCATGGATCTTACGGCGTTTGTCACGCACATGGGGGCTTTCCGGTTTAAACCTATGGCATTTGGACTTTCATCAGCCCCGAGCTGTTTTCAGAAGATAATGTCACTCATATTGGCTGGTATCCAGGGTGTCTCCATCTACCTGGATGACGTGGTGGTGCATGCGCCCTCCACCGCACTGCATGACGATCGCCTGGAGCAGGTCTTTCAGCGTTTCGAACAGCATGGGGTCAAACTGAACTCTGAGAAATGCATTTTCGGGGTTGAGGAGGTCGAGTTCCTGGGCTTCAGGCTCTTGAAGGAGGGCATCGCCCCAATAATGTCCCACACAAGGCCATTCTGTCCCTGCCAGACCCGCATTCACCATCCCAGCTGTCTTCCTTCCTGGGGATGGCCGCTTACTACCTCAGATTCATGCCACACTACTCTGACTCAACGGCCCCCCTCCGCCAGCTTCTCAGGAAGGATGTTCCGTGGGACTGGACCCCGGCCTGCCACGAAGCCGTGTGCATCATCAAACGGCAGCTCACGACCCCACCCACACTGTCCCATTTTAGCCTGACCGCGGCCACTATGGAAAGATTGAATAAAACTCTTAAAAATGGAATCTGAGCTTGTCTGGAGGAAGGGAAAACCTTCAGCAACGCACTCGACCAAACTCTCCTGACCATCTGGGCATCCAAACATTCCACCACTGGAGTGTCACCTGCATTGCTCATGATTGGGCGCGAACTAAAGCAACCACTGGACTCTTTGAGAGCTGAGCCAGCCCCTACACGTGGAAGCCCAGGGCTCCAGAAAGCCAGAGCTCAGGTGAAAGGTTCGCAGGCTCGGATGAAAGCGATGTTTGATGTCTCGCACAGAGTGCAAAACCCCTCACTTTCTGCAGGGGTTTGGGTCAGGATCAAACACCTCCACCGCCAAAATAAGCTGCAGTCATACTGGTCAGAGCCCTTGCGGGTGACTAAGCAGTTGGGTCCTGCCACTTACAGACTGGAGAATGGGACTCGTTGGCACTCAAACAACCTGCACAGAGTTGCAGCCCCCACAGCACCTGTATCACCTCCGTCCCCAGCAGTGGCTCTAGGTTGGCAGCCCAGGCCAAGAGCTAACCGGTTGGGGGGTAATCCACCAGCTCCGCCCGACGCAGCATCACGGCCAGCACGCCCTCAGAGAATGAGGGTCCCGCCCGTCTGGCATGGGGACTATGTGACAGGGTGATTGTGACACTGGGGAATGGGGGCTGAATGTTATGTTTCAGTTTCCAGGGGGGGGGGGGAGTTATGTCTGAAAACGTTCAGTATTGTTTCCTGTTGGACTCTGTATTGTTATGCACTGCGAGTGACAGGTTACGGTGCCTTTAAGGCTTACGGCAGTTATTTACGTCAAGGGTCAACAAATGTAATGTTTGCGTCAGTTCAGTAAAACGCAACATGAACGGAGCTACACGGTGTGGTTATTGAGTCTTTCACAAACACAACATTTAGTTGCCATAGAGTGAAAGGTTATCATTTGCACGTGTTTTGTCTTGCTAGTTTATACATTCAATAGATAAACCATTCCAGTGCTGTAAAGCCTGGAACACACCAAGCCGACAGTCGGCTGTCGGCCAGTTTTTGTGCCTCGGCCGACTAAGTTTTCTCAGTGTGTTCCGCACCGTCGGCTGAAATTGGATTTTCCCATAGGCTTTTGGATTATTGCTAAAAACAAACTCAGTGATGCCAGATGTAAAAAGCTAAAGGTAGGCTGTAAACGAACACACCAAGGTCCCACAAATTCAACGTCACCATCACTAAGCTTTCAGTTTTTATCTAAAAACATTTTCCCCAAATGTTTGAGTTAGAATAGTTTGTAAGAGCACAATAGGGGCTTTCGCACTGGGTAGTTCTACTAGCCAACAGGGTGGTTCCCTGAGAACTATCCAAGTGCGAAAGCCCCTATTGTGCTCTTACAAACTATTCTAAGTACGGAAGTCTGAAGTGACGTAAGCCACGCTTATTGTTGTGACTTTTATTTTGACTTCGCGGCAGACCTCTATTTTGACAGCGCTGAGAACGCCAGCCAGAGCCTGTGCACACAGTGCTCACATTCTCCGTGTTCATTCGTTTACAATCTGTTTAACAGTCCTGTCTAAAACGATATTATATAGATCTATTATGCATAGAAATTAGACAGTATATGAAAAGGTAGCATATGCCGTGTAGTTTTAATGTCCAGTGTTGCTAGCTGAGCAGAAATACGTAATCATGCTTCGCGGTAAGAAATTTTGTCTGACTTGAGACAGCACTGACGCCACATGACTGTGACGTATGCTGTCAAAAAGTACAGTGAGAGCACATATTTCAGACACATACTGTATATTACCAATACCTTTGTACCATATATTATATATTACATTTGTACATAAACTTTGTCCAAACACAGTACATTTATACACATTGTCAATATAAATATAAAGAACATGAATCATTAGGCTAAATCTTACTAACCACGTTTGCTAAATGGGGTAAGCACACTAACCTTCTAATTTCAGATGTGTTCTGAGTAAAAGATTTGTTATACACAGATTCAGACAGTGACGTCTCGTGAGTTCAGTGTTGGACAGATCAGTTGTTTTAGCCATTCATTCATTCAAAATTGATTGGTTCAAAGGAGTCATTAGGTCGCGAATCGGACATTAGCGGACGTGGATTCTTTATGTGCTAATCCCAGCTGTTAGGACATCGCAAAGGTTTCTTTTCAGTCGGTCATGTTAGCTGCTACTGACCGACGAATAGAAATCTCGCTAGAGAGGCCAATCTACTTCGAGTGAAACTAAAACGAGCCAATGAACATTGGCATGCGATAATTGCATCAGCTGCTCTGCCTCGCAGTGCGGGTTTATAAGAAGCAGCAGGTGCATACATCTACAACTTTTCGCTTCGTAATGGAGAGCCGTTCGTTTGTTCCTATCTCCGATCTGTAAGCAGTGTTCTCTAAAAGATCCAGTTCTTCAAGGAAGAAGCTTTCTCTGATCGAGTCTTCTTGTTTGTGTGTGTGCACCTTCAGTGAGCGCTAAAAGGCTGTTCTTAAAGCTGGTGATGTTGCACTTTTTCAGAGCGCTAAAAAGCTGTTATTACAGCTGGTAAGAGCTGCGCCTTCAATGAGAGGGAATGCACACTACAGGCTGCACATTCCCTGTCAGTGTTACCGCAATCTTTTCCTGTGTGCTTCAGCATCAAGAGAGCGAGTCTCCTATAAGAGCTTACATTGGTTTGAGTTGAGTCTTTCTAAAAATGACATTCCACCCGTGTGTTTCTGTTTGCATTGGCCTCCATCAAGAGCTGCTCCTGACAAGCTGGATGACCTTCCAAATGTTGTACTGCCCGGTCTCCGCCCAGTTCATATGTGTATTCTCCACGTTACCTCCCTTCGGGCAGAATGTGGCTTCCACAGCGTCCCTTACTTCCATGTACAGGGAATAGGGGTGTAACGGTACATGTATTCGTATTGAACCGTTTCGGTTTGAGGCTTCCGGTTCGGTACGCATACAAACCGAACGATTCCTTGGACCATTTTTCTTGCCGACAAAATTCGCGCTGGCGCGATCACCACAACGTTGCGCAACATCAAATGGCAAACGTAATGAAAGCGGAACGAAAATGCGCTACTCATTATATTGTGCTTCACGGATCGTTTGACCAGCAACATCTGTGCAGCGCGAGCCGATCTTGATCAAGCGACACTGTTACAACACAGCGCTAAGAGATCCAGTAAAGAAAACATTTGAATTCGCCACTGAAGTAATAACATCGCTGCGAGATCTAGTGAGAAGCATTCACATTTCTCCGTTATTAACCGTAGATCTCTATTAGATCAAACAGCGCTGATGTGGAAACCAGGAGAAACATTGTGCCGTGAATGAACTAGTAATACTTTACGTCCACAGACCAGCAACATTCACCATGGATTTAATATAGTAGGCTAACACTAACTGTAACCAGTTTGGCTGGAATAGTGAACTGCTTTCAAGTACTTCACACATCTTTTTCCAGCTCTTCAAAACTCAAATAATATATAAATAAATGTATATATATTTACATGTTATTTTTAATGTGATGACCAAAACATTATTTTTGTTCATCCTTCAAAGATGACCCCCATTTATAAACCTGAAAGTTTCAAGATGTAGGAAAACTCAGTTATTTAAAAATATTTTTTCTTTTAACAAATAAGAAATTTCTCTGGCATTTCTTTCTTTTTGCTGTATCGAAAACGTACCGAACCGTGACTTTAAAACCGAGGTACGTACCGAACCGTGATTTTTGTGTACCGTTACACCCCTAACAGGGAACGCTTTCCCAGTGGTCCTGTAAGAACAGCAGTGACTTCCCTGGCCTAAGCCCTGTCCCTCCCCGCCTTAAATTGCGGGGGGATCTGGAGGCTTTGTCTAGGCACTGGAAGGTGGCAGCACTAGATGGCGTTTTAATTGGCATCCCAATCAGTCGACACGTCGACTACGTCGACCGTGAGCGACTGAGAGGGAATGTCTCGGTTACATATGTAACCTTCGTTCCCTGAAGGAGGGAACGGAGACATAGTCCCGTCGCCACTATTGCTGGACCACCGCTGACTCCGAGTTACACTCGGCTCCTCGGGGAAAAACAACTAGTGCGTGCATCCACTTCCGTATTTATACCCGCGCCGCGAGGGCGGAGTGTGTGATGCATTTCACACACGCCAATGTGCATTGGCTCGTTTTAACAGTACTCGAAGATGACAGGCTCTCTAAGCGAGATCCCAATAAGTCGACACGTCGACTACGTTGAACGTCAGACATGTTATTCAGACTCGCTATTGGCTGCTGCAGGAGTCAACCACACAATTAGCAGCTATTAGTCAAACGAACACTTTCAAATATGTTGGCAGCAACAAGAATAAATGAATAAATAATAAAAAATATTGCTGTGAATGCCATTACCTCTTTCAAAACAGTGAATTGCTATTTCAAAATCCCTGACCATTAGGAACTTACTTTGATATGATCAACGAGATGCTGAGTCAGTTTGATGGCAAGACATTCCATAGTCGCTTTATCTTCATTCAACAGGCGTCTGTATAAAAATAAAAGCCACTTTTTGTAAGGTGGTATACTGTATAGCTTGATAACCTTTTTTTATCATAAGATGATTTGGTCAAAGTAAACAATACTACAAACTGAAATTATTAAAAGTAATTTTAAGGAATGAGCTAACTGATCAGAAATGCTACTGTAATGTGTGTTGCGTTTTGGAATATTGTCCAACTCATTAATGGGACTGATTGGGGAATGAGGAACACAGGGCAGGAGCTGTGTATTCAAAGATGGGGGTGGGAAAAGACTTAAAAAGAGCGCAAAAGACAATTGATTCGGGCTCAGTTATGGTTAAATTGGAGGAAACAGGACGGCAGTACTTGCAATTGTTGGGAGGGGTTGTTGTTCGTGGTCGGTTAGGTCGTGATAGCGTTGTCACCATCACTGAGCGGAGTTTTGCCGCTGTTGTGGACAAGCACCGTAAACAAGGCTTTATACACTGTACGCCACATCCGCACGAGAGTGAACATGGGCGCGGCAAAAATGACATCATAGCGGTGTGTGCGGTTTGTGCGCGTTGAGTGCCCTATGTGAGTGCCCGAGACCCCATTTCAATTTGCGTTGTGCATTGCATTTTTTTTTTTACTTTTCGCACAGCTCCGCTTCCGAAAGTGCATGACTTTGAGCCTATTCTGGCTGAGAAGGTACATCTGTACCGGCATCAGCACCCAGTTTGCACTTGTCCAAATTAATTGCTGACATTTACAAAATGAGCCTACAATAGCCGAAATAAGACTTTTTAAAGAAAATAAAGGTCCATGTTCAATAAACTTTTTTGATGAAATTAAATGTTTAATGAAGCATTTTATTCTAATGTCACAAGTAATAATCTCAAGGGATTTTACACAATTCTTTAGCGTGGGTTTGGTGAAGTGTAGTAAACTACAGTGGCCCAGTAGTGCACAACAGGGACTAAAAAGCAAACATAAGTTCACAACACAACAAAAACAAGCCACAACACAACGGAAACAAGTCACAACACAACAAAAGCAAGCCGCAACACAACGGAAATGCTCCCGACCACTAGTTAACTCCAGGAGCACGGTCCCTTGCCACTGTTCTATAGAGTAAAATCTTACAAAGATATCAACATCACTATTAGTTTTAACAGTATGTAACCATTGTATATCGACATGAAATATTAATTCAAAATCACCTACGTGCATTACAGCTCTAGAATGCTTTGATGCGCTACCACAGCACATTATGCCTAGCGGTGCGGATCCACTTGCCCGTGCGACACTTCTGTCGCGCCGCACTCCACTTTATTCCTATGGGTGACATCAAGCAACTTTAACGCGCCCGCAAAGCATTCCGGGAAGGCGGCGCTGCATTTGGAAATGGCAAATGCTGGCCGACAGAGATATGTCTATGCTGGCCGATGCCCATCTTTATTCAAATGGATCCGTTGAACGTGACGCGACTATCCAATAGAAGTAGAGCACATGGAGACGGGGGGAAGTCTCTCGAGGGTCCTTTGTTCTAGACTGCCCGCTGGCTCAAAACCACGCCCATAGCGGTAAACTTGAGGAACGCCCATCAACGTACAAATGAGGAGAGGCATCGCAACACCACGCTTCGGCTTCAGTCGTGTCCATACCGAAAAGTGGATCCATACCGTAACGGTGCGTGTCCACTGGCACGGAGCGAGCGGAGCAGAGCGAGCGTTTTCAATTAATTCCTATGAAAGTCGAGCTTCACGCTCGCACAGTGCATTCTGGGATTGACAGCGGACCAGAGAAAGCGTACAGAGCGGCCGAAGAGGTTGGGCAGTTCTCGAATATACAATTAGCAAGCGGAAAACGCGGTCGGCTCTGCAACCAATCGCTGTGAGGTTTGGGTTTTGACGTCTGTCTTTAGAGTTTCAAAATATGTAGATTGTGCTTCGTTTTTTTTTACGAATTATAGGCTTTGCAGTTGTTATGTTAAATATTTTATTTTGGATGTGTTCATTGTGATTATATTGGCTGGGTTTATAAAAGTTTATAAAATTGAAAGGATATCTTTGCTTGGTGCATTTGGAAACCAACCTTGTCTATTTCTAAGTGTAATCGCGTGTATCTCTGATGATTATACTGTCCGTTGAAAAAAACTTAGATTAAACACACTCGCAACCGACACACCCCAAAGCGGAGGTGTTATAGAGTTGCCAGTGGTACTGAGCGGAGTTTTGGCGTAAGGGCGTCGAGTAGAGTTGAAGTCAGGTTAAATTTATGGTAATGAGCTATGACGCAGTTAGGCGGCAACAAATTGGAATGTAGAAGTCCTCCGCTTGAGAGGATTCCAGAGAACGCAGTCCTGTAAACTTTGGTTCTGACCACATTAGTTCCCAAGCATAATGGAGGAGAGGTTTGACAAGATTTGACAAGAAGGCGCGCAATACTATAGGCAACATTTTCGCGCTAGAACGCTTGTTTTTCAGTGGGAATGTAATTCATTTGATCAAAACAACACCGATTTGACCAATAGCCTGCACACAAATTAATGTTAATGTTAATTTTTAAAACCAAGGCTACCACACGTCTCCTATAAACTGCATGTTGAAATTAGACTAGGACTTAACCATGAACACAAAAGCCACATTAGCAAACATGTAGCGGTTGTTTGGGGTCAGCCTGATCTAAACAGTGCAAATCAAGTCCCATAGACACATACATTTTAGAGATCAAAATGTTAAATTATGGTTAAAAGGCTAAATATTCTTTTCAGACTGTAACCTGAAATGGTCATGGTTTTGGAAGAAATCTCTCTCAATTTCTGTTGCCTTCTCCAGAGGAATTTTATCATCGATCTGCTGTTGTCCTCTACACTTCACCATGATGTAACCTTTGCGGAGTGGAATCACTTTGTTATGGACAATGTCCAGTATGTTCTTCTCTGTTCCCCTGTCTATGAGATCTGGCTTGGTCAAAATGGCTGTGAAAAAGGAAAAAAATTGTAAAATTTGCATTTGTTGGCAGAAGTGCTTTAAGATATTTGTTGAGAAGTGTTGAGCAGATCATCTGCAAATTACCGACAGTTCTTTTGCCCTCAGGATCTACTTTTTGTGCCATTTTTAAAGCGTCTGTTGTTGCAATGTCAATGTTACAAGGGACCACCACCATGTTTATAGTCTCTTGCTTCTCAATAAATTTCATGATCAGACATTTGATCTACAAGACATAAAGACAACTAAAAAACGAAGGTACTGAATGTGGCGTGCAAGACAATAATAAATCAGATTATACTGCCCACCTTGTATTCAATATCATCCGGTTGTCCTTTAACTGGGACTCTGGCAATTCCAGGTAGATCGATCAGTGTGAGGTCACACACATCTGGAGACATTACCTCTAAAGTGATAAGGTCATCACATATTCCTACCCCTTCTCCTGCCAGCTCATTCTGAGCTGTAGAAAAAGCATTCCGCATAATTACATGTGTTTCTCAACTTGAATGCATTGGTCAGGTTAAATACAGAGCACTCCTGCATGGTTGTGCAAGGCTAAAAGTTGTACAATACAGCAGTCTACAGTAGCGTCAACCCACTGTAACAGAGAAGCATGCTACAATTACAAAAGACTATCCCCAGTGTCCAACTTGGAACCATTTGACAAGATTGTCCCAAATGTTGACAACACCCTCACTACATGATTTTTGCTTGGATTTTTCCATTACATAGATTTTGAGTCGACATCACTTTGGAGTTGACAACAGAGCCGCAACCCACAACCTATATAAAAACTTTTGATTATGTTTGCTTGTGTGAAAGGGATCCCTTGCCTGGACTGCAATATCAACCGAGTCCCCTTGAGACATATAAATATATAAAGCCTGGGAAAGGTTCACTTTTCACAGATTCACAAAGATTGCGCTCCCGCATGTCATGTGATGTGATATTGTGTATTGTTTCAAAACTGTTGCTTTAAATCTCAGTGACGTGAAGCACGAGGTGGTGTGTTGCAGGTTGTTAATAAACGCGGTGTTCATCAGAAGCAACTTCCTATTTACGGTCATTTTACATGGTGTCAGAAGTGACGGATAATGGCGAAGTTTAATCCAACAACATGTTTTTCCAACAACATCATTGTAATGTTGTAAAATTTAAATAAGACAACAAAAACCCGGCAAAAGAGCAGAAGCGTTAATCAGAGCGTTGTGCGAGCTGTCCGAGCACTGTGAGTTCGACGTCATGAGAGAAGAAATGCTGCGCATGCAAGTTTTGAGTGATAGCTAAATTGTAGTAAAAGTTTGTATTGGAAACTTTAAATTTTCCTTCATCCTCTTCTGCCCGCACCACACCGTGACAGAAGATTGGACCACCCTAAAATGGACGATGGGGTAAGAATAATCGTCCTGGCTCAGGAGAGCCAAAACCTTTTTTGCGTTTACCCTAGGCTTTTGCCGCCTTGCTGTCACCAGCGCCCTTGACGACGAGAGCCTGTGCACCTTGTTCCGGATCGGGGCCACATTTAATCATCCTATAGACCTCCCAGACACCACCGGACTGGACTGGAGGGCAACTGTCATCCGGTGTCTGGAGAGTGTCGTGCCTCAATCCGTACATGGCCAGCCCCAAGGGATCTTCACGTCACGCCTGACCAGCCTGATCCTGATCTTCACGTCATGTCTGACCAGCCTGATCTTCACGTCAGTCATGCCTGACCAGCCTGAACTTCACGTCAGTCCTGACGAGCCGGGCGTTCTCCTGAACTACCGCTACCGTCCTGGAGTCTTCAGTCCAGGTGACACAGGTGCCATGGGTATTAATTTTGTTTTGCCTATATGTTTTTTTGACTCCCAAAGTGAGATAAATTAACAGCGAGTTTTCACTTATGGGAACTATCCTTTTAACCCTCTGGGCTTCTTCGTTTAGGGGTTACACTTAGCTTCCTTTCGGTTAAAAAAGACCGAAGCCTTAAAATCTTTAAAAAAGAGAGAGCAACTACGCGCGACTGCAGAATCCGACACGTGCGCCTTGCGGTCGCGAGAGTTTTTTGACACACGTCAGCATGACATCAGAGCAAGGCGGACCGCACTCGGACACATTTCTAACCAGCATGCGTCTCGCGGTGATCACCGGTGATCGGTTCTGCGCAGATTTTGCTCATCTCAAACAAGCCTATTGCTCCATTGGGCTGTGATTATGGGGCGTGTTTAACCGAACCAGGAAAAAAATGCCTGTGCACTCAATTGGATCGACAAATGCCTTGATCACGGTTCTCTGTTCCTCTTTTAAAATGAATGCACTGTCTACATCTTCTATAACAGACGCGATTGCTAAATCTACATATCTAAATTCTCCAGCGGCAGCCATTCTTTGTTGTAACAAATTCAACCCAAGCGCTCTTTGGTGACGTGGATGATACGTTACTGTTGATCATCTGTCCATCATCGTATAAAGCGCGCCCTGACAATTTGATTGGTCCGAAGGGGCTAAGTTCGGCTGGCATCCATGCTAGCGTTGACGTGCAGACAAATCTACAAATAAGTGGACTCCACCCACCGTTTCCTCAAGCCAACCAGATAATGGCTACATTTAGCTGACCAATCGTTGCGCGTTCTCACTACTACCAATCACCTTAGGCTTTACACTCGGGGCGGTCTTGCCCTGAAATAACTTTGCTCTGCATTGGCTCAAATAGGAAGGGTAAATGATCATGTTGGAGTTGGAGCTTATCGAGGTGGAAAAACAGTTCATTTTAGTAAAATTACTAAAACTAAAAGGCAGAAACGAGAGAAGAACACGCCGGAAATGCGTAAGAGGAAATGCGATGATACCAAGCCGACCAATCACAGATCTTGCGGTCCGCGTCGTCGTGACGTGTATGGTACACGTCTATGCGTATGCTACGGCGTACCTATTATATAAAGTATAAATTGGCCTTAAAAATTTGGATTTGGCCTTAAAAATTTGGATTTCGTTATAGTTGGACCATTAGATTGTGTATCAAACCAAGACACATTTTTATGAGCCTTTGAAAATGGCAGAGAAACAGCGTGTACATCTCTTTTATAGGAAATGTAGCTTCGCGTAAGTTCTGCCGGGAAGACTCAATCATTACGTCACTGTCTATCTTCTCTTATCCAATCGTACTCTAATTACTCGTGGTATAAAAGATCGAAACTTACACGTTTGAGTTTGCAGATGCTGACGCTTCCATTCACCTCCATCCTCCCCTCCACCACCAAGATGTCCCTTCTCCTCCACCCACCCCAACACCACCACCAGGATGGCCCCGTCCCATAGGGGGGTCGGCTGCGCCACTGCCTTCGTCTTCAGGCAGGATATGCAGATTCCGTACCCTCGGAATGCGAAATACGGACGGGGCCTACGCCAAAGAACCTCATATCATATTATGCTTGCTGAGTGTTAATGTTCACTGGTAACGGCATTATTCTCCCGAGTCTTTCTGGTAGAACAATGCGTCATGGAAGCGTCACGTTATTCATGATAGAACAGAAAAGCATCAATAAGTTGCTGACTAATGAATATAGATTCAACGTCGTGATAAATACGCAAGTTTGTGTAATATACTGTAGGTGTAATTACTGTCACAACAGCCATCAGCTTTTCCCACTTCTTCAGTCAAGTTTTAAATATGTAGCAGGTCCGTGGATCTAAATGATATAGAGCATTAAATATGTTAAATAGTATTTTAAACATTAAATACCTGTACTACGATTTCTTTTGTTTGTAGAGAAGAGGTGGGTTCTATGAACCAAGAGGTTGGTAGTAGCGAGAACGTGCTACGATTGGTCAGCTCAATGTGGCCGTTATCTGATTGGCTTCAGGAAACGGTGGGTGGAGTCCACTTATTTGTGGATTTGTCTGCACGTCGACCCTAGAAGTGTTTCAAAATGCACAGATGCATGAGGGGATTTAAATGCACAAGAAGCAATTCACAAATGCGTGCAGCGATTTACAAATGCACAAAGCTCATTTTATTTATTTGTGAATTTGATACATTTTTGTGAATCTCTTTACATTTGTTTGTGAATCTCAATCTATTTATTTGGAATAATGCAACAATCCTAACCCCATAGAATAAGTCTTGCCTTCAAAATAAAAGAGCCTATCAACGATTGGTAAAGTCATCGCATCACTGCAGCTGTTGTTAGAAGCTCCGGTTGCTCTGGAAACAGTCAGTGCGCATGTGCATTGGCTGCTCCAGCCTGAAAAACAAGCTTTTTAACTCTATTTGTGCATAAGAAACCACATTTATGATACAGTTGTTGCCCGATTTCTTTGGTCATTTCAAATATGAAATTTAATCTTAAGCTTGGTGAACTGCTTTGGAGAATTTAATGGTTGTCCGTTCAAAAAGTTGAGAGCTGCATGACTGAAACGGCTGCCAGTAGTTACAACATTAAATCACAGCATGCCACAGGAAATGTGTTCAAAAGCATCCACTACAAATACTTCCTTAAAGTTAAACGAACTTAAAGTTCATATACATTTTTTTACTTCTGGATAATGATTTTATATAATTTCAGTGCTTAACTCCTTTAATAAGAGTGGCATATTTAATCTAAATGTGGAAATGGAAAACTGAGTTTAAAATTATTCTTCCTTACTTCGCTCCATCAATAAAAGAGTGTGTGTGTACTGTCTAGAGTCCGCAAATATTTATGCCTAGTTTATTTTTCTTTATAAATTCCTATGTGTGTAGAAAATTGCATCTGCACATTTCTATGCCTATGTAAGACTTGAGAAATTAGGGCAGTCTGGTTGCGGAGCAACCACTCCCTGAGAGGACAAAGGACCTTGCTGGAAATCAACATTTGAACTCTGTCTTGTGAAGTTAGCATCACCATTTGAGACGAAAAGTCTCACCTCAGAATACATCTCTATCTCTCCCCCCACTCCTTCTCCCTCACGCTGAGATCACCTGAAATTCAACTGAGAATCTATATAGTTTAATGTGAATAATTATCCTACAGTATTACAGATATCATTTGAAATGTCTCAGTGCGACTGTACAAAGGTCTCATTCTCAAAGAAGTAAACCAAAAGGTAATAAGGTATTTAAGAGTTTAGAAATAATCCACATACAGGAGGGTGTGTCTTCCAGGCATATGGTCTCATGTTCTCAGTAGGTGTAAATCAACTTTTACCCCCAGTAAGTCTGGGACGGTGATTAATGTGAATTCCCACTGTGAACTCATGTTTACATTTGAAATGAGGTTTCTGCCTTCGTCTGTCTGTATAATGAAATGCGACTATAGAGCTTGGCGCGTTTTCTGTAACCCAGATTAGCCCGTGATGCGAAGTGTACGCAAAACACTTCGCATCTTTTTATAATGTCATGGTATTGCATCTTCTCTCTTTATTCTAGAGCATTTGATGTTTGTATCTATTATCTTTGAACTGATTATGCAACTGGCGTGATTCATTTACCGGACATAATAAATTGTAAACATTTGGTTTTATTCTAATCAATTTCAATTTATTAATGGATAGCCCCTTGAGATGCAACATCTCATTTTCAAGAGGGTCCAAAACATATAAACATAAAACAACACCAACAACACCCCCAAAAAAAAAAAAAAAACTAAGCAGCTCACACCATTACCATAAACCTAAGACACATCATAGCTCTGACATAACTGTCTCAAAAAACACATCACATTTACTCATTGTGCAAATGGAATCATAATGCAGGAAATCAGTAAACAAAAAGATGCCACATAAGAACCTGGGTTAAATCAACAGGAGATAAATCAATTAGAGTCTGGACAATTTCATAAAACAAAAGACAATTACAAGCATTACTATGCAGTCCAACATCAATAGCATGCACACACAGTGTTTAGATATTGGAATAAAGTTAACTTGAATCTACGAAAAGATAAGATGGACCTCAGGAAAAGAGGAAGATTATTCCAATCACTAGTAGCTTTGTAGTGAAAAGATTTTTGACCAGTGGCTGAAACGATTCCTGGTACGGTAAAGACAAGAGATTGCATATCTCTAAAAGGATACAAAGAACTACGTGGAACCAAGAGTTCTCTCAGATATGGAGGACATTCGAAGTAGGCACATTTGAAAATAAAAAGAAACCAATGAAAGTCTCTTCTTGATTTCAGCTGAAGCCAATTCAATGATGCATACATTAAGCAATGATGTGTTTTAAAAGGACATCTCAAAACAAATCTACATAAAGAATTAAAAACAACATTAAGTGGCTTAAGAGCAGCATCACTAGTGTTCATATAGATAATATCAGCGTAGTCGATAATGGGCAATATCAACTGGGCAATTAACCTTTTCCTAACTTCAAATGTAAAGCAATTGACAGATCTATAAAGTGTACTGAGACAGCCATATATTCTCTTTGTGATATAGTCAATGTGAGGTTTAAAGGTAAGCTCGGAATCCATCCACAACCCAAGATACTTTAATATGTCAGATTTCACCATAGAAGACCCATTAGCAAAATACAGTTTTAAGTTAAGTGCACATGGACTTCTATGCCTCGTCCCAAACAACATACAACAGGACTTGTCCATATTCAACACTAGATTGTTCCTGTGAAGCCATTTTTGAATCATAATAAAGTCATC